GGGCCTCTTGTTGTCTGCGGTACTCGGCTCCTGGGCCTCTTGTTGTCTGCTGGTACTCGGCTCCTGGGCCTCTTGTTGTCTGCTGGTACTCGGCTCCTGGGCCTCTTGTTGTCTGCTGGTACTCGGCTCCTGGGCCTCTTGTTGTCTGCTGGTACTCGGCTCCTGGGCCTCTTGTTGTCTGCTGGTACTCGGCTCCTGGGCCTCTTGTTGTCTGCGGTACTCGGCTCCTGGGCCTCTTGTTGTCTGCTGGTACTCGGCTCCTGGGCCTCTTGTTGTCTGCTGGTACTCGGCTCCTGGGCCTCTTTTTGTCTGCTTGTACTCGGCTCCTGGGCCTCTTGTTGTCTGCTGGTACTCGGCTCCTGGGCCTCTTGTTGTCTGCTGGTACTCGGCTCCTGGGCCTCTTGTTGTCTGCTGGTACTCGGCTCCTGGGCCTCTTGTTGTCTGCTGGTACTCGGCTCCTGGGCCTCTTGTTGTCTGCTGGTACTCGGCTCCTGGGCCTCTTGTTGTCTGCTGGTACTCGGCTCCTGGGCCTCTTGTTGTCTGCTGGTACTCGGCTCCTGGGCCTCTTGTTGTCTGCTGGTACTCGGCTCCTGGGCCTCTTGTTGTCTGCGGTACTCGACTCCTGGGCCTCTTGTTGTCTGCTGGTACTCGGCTCCTGGGCCTCTTGTTGTCTGCTGGTACTCGGCTCCTGGGCCTCTTGTTGTCTGCGGTACTCGGCTCCTGGGCCTCTTGTTGTCTGCTGGTACTCGGCTCCTGGGCCTCTTGTTGTCTGCTGGTACTCGGCTCCTGGGCCTCTTGTTGTCTGCTGGTACTCGGCTCCTGGGCCTCTTGTTGTCTGCTGGTACTCGGCTCCTGGGCCTCTTGTCTGCTGGTACTCGGCTCCTGGGCCTCTTGTTGTCTGCGGTACTCGGCTCCTGGGCCTCTTGTTGTCTGCTGGTACTCGGCTCCTGGGCCTCTTGTCTGCTGGTACTCGGCTCCTGGGCCTCTTTTTGTCTGCTTGTACTCGGCTCCTGGGCCTCTTGTTGTCTGCTGGTACTCGGCTCCTGGGCCTCTTGTTGTCTGCTGGTACTCGGCTCCTGGGCCTCTTGTTGTCTGCTGGTACTCGGCTCCTGGGCCTCTTGTTGTCTGCTGGTACTCGGCTCCTGGGCCTCTTGTTGTCTGCTGGTACTCGGCTCCTGGGCCTCTTGTTGTCTGCTGGTACTCGGCTCCTGGGCCTCTTGTTGTCTGCTGGTACTCGGCTCCTGGGCCTCTTGTTGTCTGCTGGTACTCGGCTCCTGGGCCTCTTGTTGTCTGCTGGTACTCGGCTCCTGGGCCTCTTGTTGTCTGCTGGTACTCGGCTCCTGGGCCTCTTGTTGGCTGCTTGTACTCGGCTCCTGTGCCTCTTGCTGGCTGCTTGTACTTGATACTTCCTTGTTATGTGTTATATATTTTATATATTTTGCTTCCGTACTTCTTATATTAATTCATATGTTAATTATTTATTTACATTGTTCATACAATAATATTTACTTCCCAGTTATGAATAAACAGTTATGCAAGTTACAAGTGCTTGTATTTATTAATTGGCGACGAGGATAAAAAAAGAAACTACACTTTATTACCTTAAATTCATTACCTTAAATTTATTACATTTCATTATTTAATTACCTCTTTTTATTGTTCATACCCACACTAGTAAACTACATAATAGAAATATTACAAAACATTGATTCAATAGCAGATTTGAAGAAAGTACGGGCTATTGTAAAAGGCCAGATTACAAAGGCAGACAGACTGTTAGATGATGTATCCACCATACCATCAGAAGTTTTACAAAACAGAGTGGATTTATTAGAAGAAAACTGGAAAAGATTTGAGGCAGTTCAACTGAAGATAGAATTGAAGTCAAAGGAAGAAGATGTTGATGAAGAAGTTAGATACAGAGTTGACATGGAAGAACGATATTACAAAGTAAAAGATAAGTTACAAATTAGAAAAACACAAATAGAACTAGAAAAAGATCTGCAACAAGGTAGTACGATGACCAACAGAAGTAATCATATGTACCGTTCTCTTACTTCAGCTATATCATTCACCCCTTTTCAAGACGACGAAACGTTCAAAAACTTCATCAGGCGCTTAGAGATTTTTATGCATTTACATGGACATGGACTACAGCCCAGGGACAAGGTTTACACCCTTCTTCATGCCTTGTCTCCTACCCTACATCAGAAATTGTATGATTTGTGTGCGCCTGAGAACCCGCTGGATAAGACCTACTCAGATCTGGTAAAGTTACTACCAGATTATGTTGACCCTCAGCCGAGTACATGGGCACTGCAGCATAGATTTTTATCAAGAGTACAGGACCCATCAGAATCTGTGAAAATGTATTCTGCTGAACTCCAAAAATTAACCACAGATTGCAATTTTTCATGTGAGAGTTGTGGGAAAACCACAGCCAACACACTTTTACGCATGCAGTTCATCAGAGGAATTAAGGATGCTGATGTTAGAGCAAGGATACTACAAGAAAAAACAACTAAATCATTTCATGACGTGGTTAAATTGGCAACAGCAATGGAACTATCCAAAGATGAAAGTTCTCTGGTCAAAACATCAACAGATTTTACAAACAATACTGTTCACAAGATTGGAAACAAAAAATCGAACTATATACCTAAGAAAACTAGCCTTCACCCTTTGACAAATTGAGAGGAAGATGCTACCGCTGCGGCTCACGGGACCATAGAGCCAACAACTGCAAGTTTGCTTCTGAAACGTGTCACAAATGCAAAAAACAGGGTCACATAGCCAGTGTCTGTGTGCAAGCAAAGGAAACAAAAGTTCATCAGACTGAAGAAGATGGAAACTATAGTTGTCAAGAAGAAACTCATGAAATTTACAAATTGAACAATAGCAGTAGTGATAAAATAAAATACTTATTGATATTTTGCTAGAGGGGAATCCAGTCCAGATGGAGCTGGATACAGGTTCAGCCATCAGCACGTTACCGTATAATATGTTCAAGAAACTTAATACGAATAGAAGACTTTTTAATACACAGCTACGACTTAAAACATATACAGGAGAATTATTCAAGCCCAAAGGCGTTGTGTTTGTTCAATGTTCATACAAAAGCCAGAGTTTTACGGGTAAACTCTATATTGTAGACGGTCACTTGGATCCTATTTTCGGTTGAGACTGGCTACGGGAAGTAGAGTTGGACTGGAAAGAAGTAAAAGCAATCAAACAAGAAACTGGAGGACGTTTAGATGAACCTCTAAACAAATACACGGATGTTTTCGAGCCAGATATAGGAAAAATACCTGATCAACTAGGCCACTTACAACTGGTACCTGAAGCTCGACCAATATTTATGAAAGCAAGGCCAATACCGTATTCCTTGAAACATAAGGTAGAAACGGAGCTAGAGCGCTTAGAAACTGCAGGAATAATAACAAAGACAGACAATTCTGAATGGGGAACACCCATAGTAGGCCTACCATTAATGAAACCCAATGGTGAAGTTAGAATATGTGCCGATTATAAGGTTACGGTGAACAGACAAATTCAAGACGAACACTATCCAATAGGTACCGAGAATTGAAGATATTTTTGCAAATATGAGCGGTGGCAAGATTTTCTGTACTCTGGACTTAAAGAAGGCTTACTTACACCTACAAATGGATGAAGCAAGTGCTGACATCCAAACCTTAAGTACACATAAGGGACAGATCAGAGTTAATCGACTCATGTTCGGCGTTAAAGTAGCTCCTGGAATTTGGCAAAGAATCATGGACAAGGTCTTATCAGGTATAGAAGGCACTCAATGCTTCTTCGATGACATAATCATCCAAGGAAAATCAGAAGAAGAGTTGCTCACTCGGTTGGAAATGGTACTTCAAAGGATAAAAATGAATGGACTAAGGTTAAATAGAGATAAATGCAAGTTTCTACACAAACAAATTGAGTACTTAGGTCACACTATAGATGCCCATGGAATCCACAAATCAGAAGATAAAGTTAAGGCTATCAGACAAGCAAGAAGACCCCAGAATGTTAGTGAACTGCGAACCTTCTTAGGTCTTGTCAACTATTATAACAGATTTATCGAGAACCTGGCAACGATTCTCAATCTGTTACATGGACTACTAAAAAAGGAGAAGAAAAGAATCAAAATTTTTTGTAATATCTGTAAATTTAGATTTATTTGTCTTGTAACTATCTATATTAAATTTCTGTGTATGGTTTAATACAAGTGGACAGATCAATGTGAACAAAGCTTTCAGAAGGTCAAGGAGATCATTACAAATGAAATTGTAATTGCTCATTTTGATCCAGTCTTACCTTTGGTATTGGCAACAGACGCATCTCCGGTGGGACTTGGAGCAGTACTGTCACATAGATTTCCAGATGGAAGTGAAAGACCTATAGCCTTCGCTTCAAGAACACTGACAAAACCGGAAGAGAAATCTAGCCAAATTGACAAAGAGGCTACTGGAATTTATTGGGGAATAAAAAAGTTCTTCCAATATTGCTATGGACGTAAATTCATCCTAGTAACGGATCACAAGCCGTTAGTTACAATATTCAATCCTGATAAAAACCTACCTTCTATGTCAGCTACACGACTTTTTAACTACTCACACTTCTTATCAGGTTTTGACTACAAAATAGAGTTTAGACGAACAAATGATCATGGAAATGCAGACTTCCTTTCAAGATTCCCAATTGAAAAACATTGAAATGCCAGCATGGACCAGACTGATGTTTTCTATATGAACCAAATTGCAACGATCAACCTAAACCATAACCTAATTGCTCAAGAAACGAAAAGAGATGAAAACATGCAACACTTGCTACTAGCTTTGGAAACTGGAAAATCGCTGGAGCACTATGGTTATCATAACGGTGAGCTGTGTCTACATGATGGTTGTATCATGAAAGGTTGGAGGGTGATGATTCCTAGATCTTTATAAAAACATGTCCTCGAAGAACTACATTTTGGTCATCTGGGTATGGTAAAAACCAAAGCCTTAGCACAAAGCTTTTGCTACTGGAAAGGTTTGGACAAAGATATAGAAGATAACATTTCAAAATGCAGACAGTGCAGGGAAAAACAAAATTTACCGAAGAAAGAAATTAACCATCCCTGGGAACCAGCAAGTGAGCCATGGGAGAGGGTCCACATAGATTTTGCTGGGCCAACCAACGGAAACTACTTTTTGTTGGTAGTGGACGCATTCAGAAAGTGGGTTGAAGTCATACCTATGAAGAGTATTACATCTTCATGGACAATCAGAGAGCTGCGTAAAATATTCACCACATTTGGACTACCAAGTGTTATAGTCTCTGATAATGGTCATCAGTTCACCTCTCCTGAATTTAGTAACTTTTTGAAGAAATGTGGAACTTTGCACAAAATGACAGCTCCTTACCATCCTTCTTCGAACGGCCAAGTCGAACGCTTTGTACAAACGATAAAGAAACTAATCAACTGCATGTCAGACGAGCCAGGTACACTCGAAGAAAAGCTTCACCAACTGCTGATGAAAGTACGTCAAGCTCCAAATTCAACTGGTAACAGCTCATACTTCTTGATATTCAACAGAAGGATCCGCACATACTTAAGTATACTTTTACCTAAGAGAAAAGAAGAAACAAAACAACCCAAAGGAATAGTGAGATACTTCAAACCAGGTGAACGAGTACAAGTACGGAACTATTCCGGAAAATGTAGATGGAGCTACGGAAATGTCCAAAGTAGAGACGGCCACCTTCACTATTTTATCAAGATGGACGATGGACCAATTTGGAGACGCCACATCGATCAAATGTTACTTACAAAAATTTAGGGGGAGACCACTGTTATATATTTTGCTTCTATACTTCTTATATTAATCCATATGTTAATTATTTATTTACATTGTTCAAACAATAATATTTACTTCCCAGTTATGAATAAACAGTTATGCAAGTTACAAGTGCTTGTATTTATTATTATGTATAGGACTTTTTGTCTCAGTATTAAGCATAAAGTTCACTGTAGGACTCGATGTTCTAGAGACTGCAGTACCTTCCCCACTTGAAGTACTACTTAAGAAATTTTCAGTATCAAGTGAACTTTCTGAATTGCCTATCAATTTACTTAACATGCCGTATCTTGATTTTCCCATGAATGGCGGTTGTCTTGAGCTACTTTGATTGGTATTTCGGAATATGAAAGTTCGATGTGTTTGCTTAGGAGGTACTTTGGCTATTTGGTCACATCGTCTGTTTAGACTTCCCTGCCTTGTTTGGGGCAATGAGCTAAGTAGAGGGCTTTTGTAAGAAGTAAAATCTTTTGGCACTTCACAAGCTCGAAGTTGATTGAAGTGTCGTTTGATTACATACCCTTTGTACCATATTCTGATAATTTGTACCATAATGTTACAATAGTTTGACACTCATACCATCATGTAACCACAATTTCTGTTTAGGTTGGCAATATGCAAAATCAGGCGATATTTCTAATAAAACAGCTCATGGCTATTTCCCGTGACGTCATATCACGCCACCATCACACCACCTTTCCGAACAAGCCTAAATCCCCTCTCCTCACGTCAGTCCACACCATGAATTAGTCCCGTCAAAACCGTATACCCTTTGCGGCCCTCTGAGCCCTTTTGAAATGTAACAAGTGTATTTATTACAACGCCCCATCCCTGACCCCCAAACGTACAGTACGATGCCGACGTACTGTACAACTGGCGACGAGGAACACGGATTATTATCGCGTTTTAAAAGTTAAATTCGCGAACAGAGTGACAGTGCAAGTGATAACGACTGTCATGTAGTTGTTGGTTTACAGTTAGTTACCTTGTAATCCGCACAAATACGGACCGATCCATTTGCTTTTGGAATCACAACAATTGGTGTTCCCCACTCAGATTGATCCACTTTCTCTATTATGTCTTCCTTTTCCAGTTTAAATAGTTCGTTCTCAACAGCTTCTCGAAGGGCGTGAGGTACCGGTCTGGCTTTCAAGTACACAGGTTTTGAATTATCCTTTAGTTTTAAAGAGCATGTAAAGTTGGGGGTTTTACCAATACATTGTTCAAAAACGCTTGAGAATCTTTGCTTGATGGATTTGATAACAGTGTTTGTATCAACCTCTGGTTTCTTCATACTAACAAGATTAATGTTGTGTAAGTTAATTTCTAATTTTCAGATCCAATCCCTTCCAAGAATAGGATTTTTAGGTAGATTTATAATGTATAGATCTTCTCTGCAAGATTTCCCTTCATATCTTATGCTTAAGGTACAAACCCCAATTGGTTTGAATATTTGTCCAGTATAAGATCGAAAAAGAGCACTTGGTTTGCAAACTGGAACACGTAAGTCTAGTTTCTTGAAGTCATCATTGTTCATTATGCTAACACGACTTCCGGAATCACAATTAAAAACGTTGTTGTTTACCATTTAGAGATACGTTTACCATCATTCTGTCATCTCCTTCATCATTATTCAATACATTTATAATCCGTTTAACGTCGTATTCATATTCAGAATCAATTTCATCAACTCTTTTTACATTTTTGTCTGAAGACTGTATTTCCTGAATTTGTTTTGTTATACACACTTTTTCTATGTGTCCATCCTTATGACAATATCTGCAATTTAGTTCATCTATTAATCAACAGTTTTGTGTTTCGTGGTTATTCCTTCCACAGTGTAAACAGGCATCTGAAAGTCCTAGTTTTTGTAGCCTTTTGTTTTTGTTGTCTTTCTTTTTGCTTGAGTCATAGACTTTACCATTGGTTAAGAAATGTTTGTTTCTAGGTCCGATTTTGTTTATGGTTGTTTTACTGATTTTGTAAATGTCATTCTGATTATTACCGGCTGTATATAAATTATGGTTGTCAAGTTTTGATGCCTCTATAGTTAAGGCGATTTCTAGGGCTTTTTCAAACGATATTTCACCCAGTTGTAAGAGTTTTTCTCTGATGTCTGAGTCATATAAGCCTCTGATGAATTGAGCCCTGACATGAGGCTTATAACTGATTTTTTGTATTTTCCGTCTTTACACCCAGATTTGAAATCTGCTGAACTAAGCTGAAATCTGAAATCTGATTTATTTGAAACTAAGCTAGTAATATATTAATAAAAACTCAATTTATTACTCTCCCTGTAGCAGCACACCTAGGTACTCATAAAACCAAATGTTATTGAAATTTATTTAATTTAAAATCAAATCAGGGAAATGAAAACTCACTTAATCTGCAGGATTGCTGTGGTGGGGGTATTTTGGCTATTCTATGACATGCAGAGACGGTATCACAACCTGTGATTGCAAGGAAAATGAATAGGTTGCTGCATATCTCTTGAGGGAGTTGAGAACACAAAACACTGAAACATTTTTATTATTTGAGTTATTAACGGCCGCCATTTTGAAACGACTTGATCAAACTCGACTATTGACAACAAATGCCGAGATAATGTATTCAAGTACGTGTATGCCAAATTTCATTAAAATCGGTTCAGGCATTCGGTCATTATAGCCAATTCATGGTGACCCAGCATCCTCTTACGGCCGCCATCTTGATGACGTCATTATGGATGACTGAGGTCCTTAAAAATTGGGGTCTGGGCGGTTTTAGGTTCAGGAACTAGTATACTATAACCACATAAAATTGCAGCCTCCCCGCCAGAACTGAAATATTCTGCCACTATATGCAACTATACTACCCCACTATAATTTAAAACACTTCTGGAAGAAATTTGTACAAATATCTAATATGTTGCTTTTTATTAAAGTAACTGGCAAACACAGATAAAAAATAGAATAGAACAACACGTTCATGTGGCTTATATATTTGTTTTTAATTTTTTTTATAATTAATCTCATAGAGTGTTTATTGTTCAGAAAATTATTGCAACAACTGGGTAGTGAGAAATGATTACAGGAGGTAAAAAAAGTAGACCATTGCTTTTGTAAAGAGGTGCTTGGGTTTCCATGCATGCATACCTGTAATATTCATAATAGAGGAAAAATAAACAAAAAAGCTTGTACAAGTAAAAGCATATAACAGATGCAAAAATACACGTATAGTATAATATACACATTTCAAAGAAATCTATAACATTCTGATTCCAAACCGGGTAAAAAACTATTCACTTGTTATCTGTGTTTACTTACTCTTGTTTTGTAGAGTACTTTAAAGAATTGTGTAACAAGGGAATCTATGTTTGATCAAAAGAATATTTTGAGATATGAGCTGTTAAAAACTTATCATACAAAGAACACACAGACGTTAAATAATATTTAATTCCAAACCACAGTTCAAACAGTAAAATAACAGATAAAACATATCGTTTTAAAACTACTTCTTTATCCCCTCTTTTGGAAAACAATTTTAAGATTAGTTCTTTAGCTGTGTACAGAGAGGAGTCATGCAGCCAACTCTCCTGGGATGATGTCATGTCATTCAAGAGGAAACCATTGTGAACGTGTTAAGTTTTCTATGCTTTTATATGTGTTTTAAGATTCAAGGTCAGTTGTTTTCGGCTTAGGACCAAAAATACTTAAGAATGTGTCTTGAGTCAGTTTTGTGATCTAGGCAACTGTTAGCTTTGTGAACCATCTTAGGTGAGGTCTGGAATACTCTTTTAAGGTACGGTATCTATAATCAACTATAAACCCTTAAAACAGTCTATATTGTTAGTATACTATAAAATAAATTCAAAATCATAATTTCAGAAAAAAAAAATCATTCAATCTATTGTACATGAATATAGTTTTGTACAGGACATCCAACTGTCATGAATTTTGAGTTCCCTTAAAAGTTCTTTGTGGTTATATTATCTTGAAAAGGCCATGTTGTTGATACTAGTATGCTTCACTGTAGTTTTATAGTCCTGAAATGTTGTTAAATAAGACATACTTATGTAACGGCTTCTTAAAAGGTACAGTGGAACCTTGATAACAAGTCTTATTTAATAATCCCTCTCATGGGGATTATTAAATAAATAAGACTGTTATCAAGGTTGACTTCTTATCGAGGTTTGCAATAACATGTGATTAAGGGTAATATGAATTCTAGGGGAATTAAGTCTTCTTATCAAGGGTGTGACTTGTTATCAAGGGTCTTGTTATCAAGGTTCCACTGTATTAATAGCATTTATAACACTGTGAAAAAAATAACTAAACCATTGTGAGCCAAATGGTATAACCACAACGAACCCACACAATTTCACTATATAAAACACACAAAGGGTGACAGTTTTTGATACTATTAAGTACTGGTACTCCGTTATCATTAATAAGCATAATCTCATCATTCACATTACTGTAAATACTGTAAAAGTCTATGGGCCACATAAATGGACATACATTTGCATTCACCACTTTGGGCCCTGAACCTTAAATTTGATTATAGTTTTCGGGTAGAACAATCAACAGTCACTACTTATTACCAAAACATTACATTAAATAATATTTTAGTCAAAGGCAAAGGCTATCTATCATCAAACAAATTTCAATGATGGAATAGTAGTGCAGTGCCATATAATAGTG